TGCCCGCAGCGGTGAGCTCAGGTGTCTGCCCTGGGGCTCTCCCAGAGTGACGGACACCACACAGCCAGCTTGACGGACAGAGGTGGAGAGCCTCCCCTCCTCTGGTCAGCCCAGGAGTGTCCAGGACACGGTAAGGAAGTGTGGCTGGAGTGACCTGCTGGGACTTGATCACGGAGGACTTGAATGCCCAGATGTCCCTCCCCAGGTGAGGCAGAGCCGGTCAATAGGGTTTACCGAGCTCCCTTCCCTACCTCTGCCGTTCTGCCAGGCAGGGCTGGGGACAGGAGACTGGGCCAGTCAGGAGGTGCCAGGAAGTTACAAGGGGGGTGTCCAGAGGCTCAGGGGAGTGAGGGAGCTCAGGGAGCAGCACCGTGCCCCCCAGACTGTGTGGCAGAATCTGTCCAGGTAAAGGGGGAATTCTAACACAGTTGGGGGACCAACAAGACCGGAGGTGAGAGGTCAGACTGGTAGCAGGACCTAAGGGACACCAGGAAGTAAGGTGGAATCCAGGCCCTCCCCTGAGGCCTTGGTCTGTGAAATGGGGGTGCCCCTGGGGCTCCTGGGGGAGGGGCAAGAGACCCAAGCCCCACCCTGAATCAAAGCCCCCCCCACCCCCACCCCACCCAGGGGCTAAAAATAAAAGCAAGGATAATTTCCCTAAATGAAACCTCCACTTAAACACTTAAAAAGCAATAAAAACTCAATTTTCTTTCTCTCAATTATTTTACTTATTTCATTTTCCAAAAGGTTCACCCTGTTATGAAGATGTATTTTTCCCCTTCAGTGGCAGCGTTCTCTGCCATTACTCAAACTGACTCAGCCTCCCTCTGCCAGGAGGGTCCCCTGGTCTCCTTGGCAACCAGGTGCCCTGGAGGACTGGGACTTCACCACCTCTGCCTGTGGTGGGGACGCCGAGGGGTCGAGACCTGCCCCCTCTGGCTCCTGCCTCAGTTTCCCGCCTCCAAGCCTCCCGCATCCCATGACACGCCCCTGGCCCCTCTAGTCAGGCCCCCCTGGGGTGCCTGGAGGGAGACCCACCCAGGGCCCTGCAACTGCGCCACGCACGAGGCAAGGCGGGTTCAGGGGAGCCGCCAGCGCTCCATCACGCAGGCCTGACACTGGAAAAATTTGGTTTCCCGATGTCATTAGTGCTTTGTGATCGGCTCCATTTGTATCATGCCTGCCCCGTGGCCTCATCTCTGCTAATTGTTTTTACTCACTCTTTCCATTTTTAAACTGCTGTCTTGTTGGCTTTTAATTTTTAATTATTGCTGCGCCCCTTCCTTCCTAATTGGTCCAGGCCCCTGCTGAGGCTCCCTGCACCGAGACTGCGGCTGACTCCCTCTGGGTGGCCAAGGCTTGCCCACCTCCTGCCTCCGTCAGCCCCGGGGGGTCACGGCCTTGCTCCAGGGGCCAGGGGCCGGCCACACCTGGCTTCTGGTGCAGTGAAGCCCCCAGGTCCATCCTCCAGGCACACACTGGGCGTCAACTGTATAGGCCTGTGGGGGCAGAGATCCC